CCCGGGCCGGGCCCGGCCGGGGGGCCGGGGGGCGGGGGGCCAGCGCCCGCACTTACCGTGCCCTCCCTCCTCAGGTCTGCACGGCCTGCACTCCCAACAAGGAGTACGTGCGGGTGTTCGACGTGACGGAGCGCACCGCCCTGCACCGGCACCAGACCGGCCGGGCCTGCCACAAGTGTGGGGCGGCGCTCCGCGACACCATTGTGCACTTTGGGGAGAGGGGGACCCTGGGGCAGCCTCTCAACTGGGAGGCAGCCACCCAGGCTGCGAGCAAAGCAGACACAATCCTGTGTTTAGGCTCCAGCTTAAAGGTACACAGACGGCACTGCGGGTGGGCAGAGGGCGAAACTGCTGGCAGCTGGCCAGCGTGGCATGGAGCCCAGCTTCCTGTAGCTTGTTCCCTGGTGTGTGTGTGTGGTCTGTCTGTCCCTCCGTCCGTCCACACAGGTTCTAAAGAAGTACCCATGCCTCTGGTGCATGACTAAGCCCCCCAGCCGGCGGCCCAAGCTCTACATTGTGAACTTGCAGGTAACTTGCTGCCTAGAGGCACCTCCTTCACCCCTGGGATTTCCCGCCCAGCACTCGTGCGCCTTGGGGGGCACCTCCAGGTGGCCGAGTAGGACCCAGGCTGCGGGTCCTCACTGGCCTTCCCCTGTCCCCAGTGGACCCCAAAGGATGACTGGGCTGCCCTGAAGCTCCACGGGAAGTGTGATGATGTCATGCAGCTCCTGATGGACGAGCTGGGCCTGGAGATCCCCCCCTACAGCAGGTAAGGGGGTGCAGGCGCATGCCCCCCTCCTGCCCCTGTGTGGATGGGACGTGTCTGTCTGCTCTCGAGCTAAGCCTAGAGAAAGTTCTGAGGTGTTGCACGCAGTATCTGAGGCGTGATTGCAAGTGGTGGCCTGCAGGGGCCAGCCAAGGTCCCTGGCTGATGGGGCTCCCTGCGGGAGAGGGAGCCGGCAGTTTGTGTCTGGACGTTCCCCCTTTACCTCAGACAGCCTGGAGGGGAGGTCCCTAAAGGGACATGCTCTCGGCAATCCTAGTCCAACAGACTCGTGCATTCGGTTTGGGGAGCTGGTAGACTCGGGGAAGCTTAAAGAAACTGTTCCTTAATGCAGAACTTGTGATAATTTAGATATGGTGTGTGTGTTGAGTAAAAAGTTTACACTTTCTTTCTCTGTGAATTTTCAGGGTCTTATAGGGGAAATCAGTAACTTCTTTTAATCAAAGGGTTCAAGAATTAAGGATCCCTTCACCTTCTGGGCCTGGCAATTCTTGTATGTTATGTTTGTGGTGTTCTGTAATGTGGGCCTATCGTGTACTGTACTTTTTTTTTTACATTAACTTAGCTCATTTTCCTTATCAGTGCTTATCTGTATCTTAAGTTTATAATATGTGGTTCTACATCTCAGACACATGACCTCACCCGGGAGCCCGTAGGCCACACCTCCCTAGTCAGCTGGCCTTCTCACAGTCTGGGAAGGGGGAGAGGGTCCGGTCCCCCTGCCCCTGGCCGTGCGAGTGAGAGGTGGGGCCCAGAGCCGCTAGTGCCTCATCCCTGCTGGCACGACTGCCTCCACCTGCGCATGCCGCCGCAGCCGCCGAGGACACGCTCTGCCGAGGTGGGGCGAGGGGGAGCTTCCCCCTCTTGCAGCTCAGGACAGTGGGGCTACCTCCATGCAAAGCCCGCCACGGCTCAGACAGGGCGGGAGCAGGGTCACCTCAGTCAGCGTTCCTGTCCTGGGCAGGCGGTGACGGCGGCTTCCGGTCACACTGACCCGGCTCTCCCTCTCGGCAGGTGGCAGGACCCCATCTTCTCCCTGGCAACCCCCCTGCGGGCTGGTGAAGAAGGCAGCCACAGTCGGAAGTCGCTGCGCAGAAGTCGAGAGGAGCCCTCGCCTGGAGACCAGGGCGCGCCACTCAGCTCAGCCCCCATCCTAGGTGGCTGGTTTGGCAGGGGCTGCGCCAAAGGCACAAAAAGGAAGAGAGTGACATAACCTGGTGCTCGAGGGAGAACAGCAGTTGGCACTTTGCAGATGGCGGGACCTCGGATCCAGGGGCTGGTGGCACCCAGCACGCCGGGAATGCCCCGCAGGTCCAGTGAGAATGCTCTGGGGGTGACATTGTCACGGTGACACGCTTAGCCATTTGTCTTGGTGGGGAGCCCCCTTGCACTGCTGTGCTTCCGGCCTGCCTCCCCCACCTGTGGGCCTGGGTGCTGACGAGTGGCCCATCCAGTCTGTCCTCGAGGTGGCAGCCACGCCGTCCTGTGGGAACAGAACTCGGGGTACATCACACCTGGCCAGCCAAGAGGAAGCAATCGCTGCCTTGCCTCCTCCTCCAGGCCAGTCTCAGGGGCCTCAACCCTATTTCTACTTCCTATAAAAATGTTCACTTTATAGCAAACCCTTTTCTGTGTTGGTATGCGGCCTCAGCAGACCTTTGTGTTGCTAATAAACATCTCTGCGCTGTCTCCCCGCATCACTGCGTGACTGCCCTCCTGTCGCTGTGGGAGCCGGGGCCCGCTGG